GTTCTGTTCTGTTCTGTTCTGTTCTGTTCTGTTCTGTTCTGTTCTGTTCTGTTCTATTCTATTCTATTCTTCCAACTCTGTTAAAGTGTAAGAAGAGAAAAGAAGGAGGGGTTTTTTTTCCTCCTCCAAGCAGCCTCGCCTCTCCCTTGTCCCCCTCCTCTTTTAAAGGACCGCGCACCACCAAGAGCAACTTTCCAAGCCGGGGGAGACCCCCCTCCCTAGGGGGGTGATGTTAGGGGGGGTCTCCCCCTCCCCGGACCGACGGGGCTACCCCCTCCTCACCTATGATGATGGCACAGGCGCTGACCAAGCCGATCTCCTTCTTGAGCGCCACTCGCTCCGTGTCGCCGCTGTCCGGGCTGGGCGCTTGCGGGGCGCTGGGGCTGTTGCCAGGCGGGGGCGACTGCGGAGCCGGTTGCTGAGCCGCGATGCTCTTCCGGAGAGTCCGCTGCTGGTTCTCCCCAGCCATCGCCTCCTGCCCGGCCGCTGGTGCGGATCTGGCGCTTGGGCTTCGCCGGGTTCAGCTGGAGAGCTGGGGGAGCGGAGGCGCATGCGCGGCTCTGGCCCCATCGTCCCGGCCAGAGACTTTACTGGACTTCGGGTGTGCTGGGAGGGGGGCGCCTTGAGGGAGGGGGGTTTCCGTCTCTGGGGCTGGGGAGCTTCGGGGACGAGAGGGGCTCGTGGAAGACGGGCGAGACCCCTCCTTTCCCCTTGCCCTCCCAGGAAGCCGCCCCGCCGGTCGCAGCATCCTGCTGCCCCCCCTTGCCAAGGGGGATGGCCCGCTGGCGTTGGGGATGTTCCGGTCCAAAAGGGGAGACGAGCTCCGGTCCCTCTCACTTCGACCGGGGAGGGGGGGGCGGTGTTTGCAGGGGAGTCGGGCAGGACTTGCTTCAGGATCGAGCCCAAAAGAATGGGCAAAGTCTTCATCACGCGCGGAGAGGCAGAGAAGAAGAAGCAGCAAAAATGCCCTACATTAAACCAGGGATTTCTACCAAATTCATAATTCATTGTTTGTCTTTTCTTGAGGGTGGGAGGGGGGTGTAATTTCCTGGCTGATGATTGATGGAGATTTCAATCATCCAGGTTGTCCCAAAGGTGTTTTTTCTTTCTTTCCTTCCTTCCTTCCTTTCCTTCCTTCCTTCCTTCCTTCCTTCCTTCCTTCTTTTCTTCTCTCTCTCTCTTTTCTTTCTTTCTTTCTTCTTTCTTTCCTTCCTTCCTTCCTTCCTTCTTTTATTCTCTCTCTCTCTCTTTTCTTTCTTTCTTTCTTTCTTTCTTTCTTTCTTTCTTCTTTCCTTGCTTGCTTCCTTCCTTCCTTCTTTTCAAAAGGCAACTCGACTTCCTTGGGGTTATTTCCTTCCTTTGGAAACCAAAACATGTTCAGTTCTTCAGAACGGAAGGAGCTTCTTGGATGAGAAGTGAAACATTTTCAAAGAAAAAACCCCAAGAAGAAGGTCCAGTTGGAGGGGAAAGGCACCTTTGGGGCTTCCTGGCTGATGAAAGGTGGGGGAGAGGAAGCTAATGCAATCCTAAATTGCATTAACAGAGGGATCAAATCAACATCAACATCAAGTGAGGTACTAATACCACTCTATAAAGCCTTAGTAAGACCACACCTAGAGTACTCCATCCAGTTTTGCTCACCACACTATAAAAAAGATGTTGAGACTCTAGAAAAACTGCAGAGAAGAGCAACCAGGATGATGAGGGGATTGGAGACTAAAACATACAAAAAAACGGTTGCAGGAACTGGGCATGGCTAGTCTAGTGAAGAGAAGGACCAGGGGAGATATGATAGCAGTCTTCCAATATTTGAGGGGCTGCCACAAAGAAGAGGGGGTCCAGTTATTTTCCAAAGCACCTGAAGGCAGGACAAGAAACAATCAAGGAGAGAAGCAATCTGGAATTAAGGAGAAACTCTATAGCACTGAGAACAATGAAAGTGGAACAGCTCGCAATCAGAAGGTTGTGTGGATGCTCCATCACTGGAGGTTTGGAAGAAGAGACTGGACAGTCACTTGTTTGAAGTGCTATGGGGGTCTCCTGCTTGAGCAGGGAGTCGGACTAGAACTTAGAAGATCCTGCAAAAGATCCCTTCCAGCTCAGTTTCGATTATTATCTCAAAGTCCCAGAAACTGAACAGAGACAGATGCAGAGTTCTTCGCTGAAGGGGAAATAATCAAATGACCAGTTGGGATATCTGACTTCATAACAATACTTGCAACAAATAAAGAAATGAATCCTGAAATTTCAGTGGATTCCAAGCTGAATATGGATCAGCATGAGTTGGCTGCTAAAAAAAAAAAAAAAAAAAAATGGGCATTTTTAGTTT